AATCCAGAAGTTGGCCAGCTGTTCCAAATCAGCTATTGTTATCAATTTCCTCTGAAAAACAACTTCTCAAGCAGTTCACAGCTATCAAATGTTAAAAATCTCAAAAGTTCCTAGGAAAAGTGCTAAAGGAACCAGCTCTCCCCTCCCCATCCCCCTCCTCCCGCTTTCACTGCTCCCATCCTCATGCCAGCATTTCAAATGACAGCAGAGTCCAGAAGACATCAGTCCTGTCGGACTCAATTTGTGTCTGTGCAAGCGTATCAGAGCCAACTGCTACATAATGACTCCGTGTGATCACAGAGATGGAGACCTATGAATGCTCGCTCAGGGAAGAAGTGATTTGGCTTTTCCTCCTACTCAGCTGAAGTGCATAAGACGACCAAATTTTTTCAAATGAACCTTCAACTGTTACTCCTGGACTTGCTATAGTGATAGGATCTAGCACTCTAGAAACGAAAGCAGCTATAAACATACATATTTATACTTAAATGGGTTGTGCCCAAAGGAGATCAGAGGCGTGAAGATAAAATCTATTCTAAATGTTCATTCCAGCTAATCTCCATTCCTTATCTTGTTTATGACACAGCAACATTGCCAAAAGGGAATGCTGGCTGCCTATCAGTCAGGTGGAATTTAAATTTAGGTACAAAAATTGAAAATGGATTCTTAAGAAAATAATTAAACCAAAAATAAAGAGGATAAAAGAATATTGTAAGTAGCTTCCATTAATCTATAGTAAGGGTTGCTAAGTACTCTGGAAAAAAAAAAAAAAAAGGGCAAGGAGATTCAGTGATATGAAAAGTACCATGTTTTACCTAACTTACATCACACATTATTCAGTATTTGTCCAAAAAGCCTCAGTAGAAGCCAACCCTTTGATTTTCATATATTTTGCTCCTTCTTTCTTGAGATGGAGTCTCATTCTCTGTCATGCAGGCTGGAGTACAATGGCACAATCTCAGCTCACTGCTACCTCTACCTCCTCGGCTCAAGCAATTCTCCTGCCTCAGCCTCCTGAGTAGCTGGGATTACAGGCATGCACCACCACGCCTGGCTAATTTTTGTATTTTTAGTAAAGGCAGCGTTTCACCATGTTGGTCAGGCTGGTCTTGAACTCCTGACCTCATGATCCACCCACCTAGGCCTCCCAAAGTGCTGGGATTATAGATGTGTGCCACTGCACCCGGCTCGCTGTCTTTCATCAGCAGGGACATGCAGATAGAACTCAACCATGTATATGAATTTAAAATAAAATTTTAAAAAATGTAAAACTCTCTGGTTTCTTATTTCTCATACCACAAAGATCTTATGAAACAATAATTTTGCAGATTTCCAATTAACTGAATATTTGCTTTTGTATGTATGTACATGGGTGGTTGGAGAAACTAACAGTTCAGAGGGCAATACGATGCATGTAATATAATTTGAAACGGAACAACAAAGAGTGCACTTGCCTAAAAGCCTTAACAAATCACGGTTTCAAGCATTCACATAAGCTGACACCTATCCAACTCTTTTTCTTCAACTTACCATTGTAACACTTTTCTGTAATAAGTATATTCATATTCAAACCAATATGAATGTTAAAGGATTTGTACTATTTTTTTCACCTTTCTATACTGTTGATATATTTTTCTAAATACTGTATTAAAATTTTCTTTAAAAAAAAGACAAACTGGGGCCTAGTCTCAGAAAAGTTTTATATGGGAAATGTAGAAAATTAGCCAACATCTTGCCATACCAGAAGCAAGGAAGTTTTCAGAACTACTAGGCTATATTAAAAAAAAAAAAAAAAAAAAAAATCCAAGATGATGAGGTGCCTATCAGCTAAACGGAAAATCTGAGTGACAAAAAGAATAATAACTGCAAAGAACTACAACAAATTACATTATAATCTATGAGTTCATAATTTTAAAAATTTCACTGGTTACTCTAGGAGAAAGTTAGAGAACCAAATCATTTCTCTGAAAACGGGAACAGAAAAGGAAAGAATTAACCAAAACAAACAAACAAACAAACAAAACTGCTGTCACTTAAAATTAGGTATTATTATTTATTTCTGAACATTTTTCATTTTTCTATCATAACAAACCCATCCTCTCAAGTCTAGACATCTCAGAAGCAATAATATCATAATGATATTTAACCTGAACATACATGCATAAAATATATGCATTAAGTTGGGGGATGGTATGAGAAGGAGGATGTCCCCAAATCACTTCTTTTTATCTACCTCCCAAACC